CAGGACTACCTGGCAGCTACTCAAGGCTGGGTTGACCTAGGAGTCGAGGTCATTTTTTAGGGGGGAAAAAAAGTCCAGCTCTGTCAGGATATGAACCCACGACCTTCCGATCCACAGGCGGGCATCTAGCCGCCAAGGCCATGGCGACTTCCTGTATGGAACAGGGTTTCCATAATTTGTAGCTGTATGATTCTCATCCTTGAGATGTTAATCCTATAGAATGCAAATCTGGAGGCGATGGGGAAGAACAAATTAAGGACAACACTGGTGGAAGTAAGATGGAGAAGAAGACAAAACATGAGCACAGATAAATGAAGGCACTAGTAAGAGTGGTACAAGCAGAAAATCTGCCTTCTAAAAGCCTTTTAAAAAAATACTTCAAAATCTAGTGAGATGGCTAAAAAAAAAATTCTTTTTAAATTTTTTTTAAAATATGCAGACTTTTGACTAGCATGACTACTGAGCACAGTAACGTAGTGACTAGACACACAGCAGTCAACATAAAGGTCTTGAGTTTCAAACTGCAGCGAGAAAAACAATTTTAATTGACTTAGCAATCTCATGTTGAACTAGCCAAAACAGATACAAGTAAATATTCCAGGAAGTAAAGGCAACCAGTGTGGTATAGACCACGTGACCTACCATAAAGAGAACACTGCCCCCCCCCCCATCCCCACCCGCCTTTTAATTTTCTAGAGTGGGGGAGGGGCTCAAGTCTTGCTTAACGGGAAATAATATTTATTTATTTATTGCACAATTAAAAGAAACTTAGGCCTTTAAGCCTCCCCCACCCAACGCCCACCTGCAAGTAAAAAATTATTGCGGCTGCTATGGGGTGTTCAGCCTTGTTTAATTGTCCAATAATAATTTACAAAATTATTATGTACTGAAAGGCAAAACATAAATAATATATTTAAAATGATAGGAATATATACACAAATAGATCACGTTTATATATCCTGGGTGGGAGGCTCTGCTCCCTAAAAATTATTTAGGGGGAGGGGGGTGAGCCCAGTTTCCAGTGCCTTTAATGTTGACCACGTTATCCATAGAGTGTCTATTGATCTATTACCATATCCTTGATGCGCCAAAAAGAAAAAGTTACCACATCACAGGGCACATCTAAGGATAGTCATGCAAGAGCAAGAGGGTGCCCAAAAGAAGATAGATTGATGACATTAAAGACATTGTTCCCTCAAACTGGAGTACAACCTTGATTATCTGGCCACCATATTATTTGGTCCTGCTTTTAAAAAAATTCTTGGTAATTAAATAATGAATAATTCACTTTGCTAAGTGGTTGCAAGTGTGTTTCACATTATTTTATTTTTCCTGCAGTTAAGTTGGATGTAAATGATACTTTAAAAGTGAACAATATTTAATTTTGGATTTCCTTTTCTGAAATAACTGTTAAAAACATACAGTACAATACATTTTAAAAAACATTTATAAAGTACTGGCCAGTACCAAAAGATCAGAAAATAATAATTAATGCCGGTTTTGGTATAAAAAAAGGTGTTTGTAATGAAATGATTAGGTAGGTAGGTAGTTGCACCCCACCAGGACATCACATAAGCTATAAACACCCTGTGACACAAAGTGCCGCCATGCTGTTGAGAGGTCCCAGAAACCGCTTTCAGCCGTTAAGCCATATTTATGGCAAGTCCATAGCTATGCCCCGGTTATAAGCCAGGGTGGGGCTTTAAATAATAAAAAAAATTGCATCCTACATGGTGACGACTTTTTCAATATGACTAGGGTAGAAACTGAGTATTTATAGACCTCTTGCATATCCGACCTACCTTTCCACCAAATTAAGTCGAATATTGCAGAGTCTACTGTAGGCCTATATGTTATTAACCAGTGCCTCCCGTCAAGCATTGAGCCAACTATTCCTCCGTCATGACTAGAGCCGTCTTAACAAACAGTGTGGGCTCCTGTGTGCTCAGGCCCCTATGACAACCACTCACAGGAATTAGATTTTTTTGTAAACAAGTCACCTGATATATACAGATTAGCATGGGGCTCCTGTGTTCCTGGGGCTCCTGGCAAGTGCCCAGCTGGCCCTTGTTAAGACGGCACTGCTCATGACGTGTGACAGCAAAAATTGATGGTTATGATGATAATGATGGTAAAATAAGTGTAGATTCTTAGGCTGCTACAATTCTATCTATGAATGGTGTTTTCCCACTTGTATCCTTATCTGCTTTTTTGCATGCAACATATCCATTTAGTTGGGTTATTAAGTTTTATATCTTTTCATACGGGCGAAATTTTCCAGCTGTCTTTTTTTTTTACAGCAACTCTTTCGTTCGAAGTCGGCATACGTCTGTCTGAGAGGCAAGGAACCAACAGTCTACATACTAATACATTATGTAAAGCGGATATGCACACAAACTTTAAGTTTTGGAACAAGACCAGACCAGACCTTTCCGCTGGAGGTTACAGCCCGTCTCCTCCGAGACTCACCATCCGCTTACTAATGACAGGCCACCTGGTTTTGACTGACCATGCAGCAAGCACCTGGCCCCGTCTCCGCGGTAGGGATTGGTCACGTCTGCTGTCTTCTCTGCAGTGACAAAAGTAGCGGAAGAGTGAACAGACCAGGAAGATAACAATTAATGATTATGACTGGTGGGTGGCTGTTGTCGCAATAAGTCCCTATCTCATCTGTCCTAACAACCATCGATAACAATAGCTGAGATTCCTTTTTTTTTATACTATACCAGTACTACAACTCATTGTTGATATCTTTTTGTGTCACTGAAGATGTGTAGTGTGTATTTATTTAATGTAGTCATGTTTTTGTCAAGGCCGGATCACTTTCCAGGTCTATGAACTCTTTGTACTGTGTTTGCACTTGAAAAAAAAGTTTATATGTTGTATTCATTCTAACTATGGACGTTTACTTTAACTGGGTTTTTTCTAGGAGTTGTATTAATAGCGTGCATTTAATCCATACGCGACCCAGTCCAATAGAGTTATGTTACAGAATGAGGAACCTGTTTTCTCAGCGATCTAAGTTGGCAATAATAACACACAGTGAGTGATGAAAATTTAAAATAGGGCTAAAAGCGGCGGAGCTGGTATAGTTATAAATGAATTCACTAACACAGACTATAACTAGGAAGTTCAATGAGGAGGAAGGAACACAAACACTTAGAAACAGTCGGACGTTTACGCCTTTATCGATAATTTTTTTTTTAATCCCTGACTACTGACTGACGAGTTAGGCCTGGTAGTTATAATTTTCAGTCATGTGATTAATGATTGAGATGATTCAGGTAACTGAAATCTGAAAATAGTTATCGAAGAAAGTGAAATCATCAGTAGTATCAGGAAGTATTAGTAAAAAGTTGTATTATCTTCTCACTAGCCTTTGCTTTTACTCCTTTGCGTGATAAGTGGGGTTGTGTATGTGTAGTGTGTAAAATTGTTGGCTAAAAGTAAGTAGGTTTCCATGTAATATATGTGAAAGTGTTGGCAAAAGGTACTTTTACTTCCATTTAATGTTTGAAACATTCACAAGAGATTTGGTTGTTTTCATATAATGTGTGAAATAGGATTGTTTCCATTAATTTTTTGAAGTGTTTTTAAGAAGTTGGTTTCCATGCAGTCTGAAAGGTAGTGGTGTTTTCAGACATTTAATTAAGTATATTGGTAGGAGTTTTTGTGTGTGTGTTCAGAAATATGTCTCAATAGACTGAATTTGTACAAGACTTATGATGAGCCACAACTACATAGATACCTACACAGCTCAAACATATATGCTTTGATACCAGCCTATCAGGTATCTCTTTCTCTCTTGGTCACTCTCTCTTCCTCTCAGACTTTCCCATTGTTACAACATATCACGTTTACAACCTTTTCACGTCATACCCACAGAATGTAGACTGTATCCTTCTGATAAGAAATCACTTCTGTTTGTGAATTAATTTCTTTTAAGAAATCTTTTTTTATTTTTGTTTTTGGTCCTATGAGTTATGAACTGACGTCACAACACTCCTGACATTTCCCCCGTGTGGGTTCCGGGGCCCCATTGTAGGGGAAAACAAGAATAGACCCACTGCCTCCCCAAAAGCATGTCGTAAGAGTCGACTAATTGGGGAGCTTCCTTTGAAGTCGGAGTGCATCTGTCGGAGAGGCAAGGAACCAACAGTCTGTATTCAAGAGAATGAGATCTGTAAAACTGATGCACACGCAACACTCAGGTTCTGGAGCAGGACTGCAATTCAGTAGTGGACGCACAACCAGAACTTTCCGCCAGAGTGTACAGCTGGTGAACGTGAAGAAGAAGAACTCATGACATTGTCATAAACACTCCATCCCCATCTTTAGCAACAAGCAAAGAGTTCAAATTCTGATGGTACCGGTGACAGTCTGATTTTATGTCTGTCTTGCCAATTCCCTGAGTCTCTCTTCTTCAGACCGTGATGATCTATCGGTACCTTTGCTCTTGTTGTCCATATTAACCTAATTATTCCTCTCTAAAATCACATTTCAACGGCTTCCCCATAATATTTTGCCAGTCAGCTGCCTGTCCATGTATTTTATGACAACAATTATTAATTCAGTGAGTTGATGCTTTAAGAACGGTCTCTTGTCAGTTGACATGATTGTACCTATAAACTTATCAATCTCTTATTGTCCCCGTGTGGGTTATGGGACCCCCATTCTGGGGGCAGAAAGAATAGACCCACTGCCTTCTCTAGAAGCATGCTGTACAAGATGACTAATTAGGGAAGTTTTCTTAAAGTTAGAATGCATCTGCCTTAGAGGTGAAGAACCAGTAGTCTAAATACAAATAAGTCAGATGAATAAAAATGATGTGCATATAACACTCAAGTTCTGGAACAAGACTAAAGTCCATAAACTGATGAACATTCCACCATGGTTTACAGCAGGTGAGCGCTAATAAGAAGAAGAAGAAGATCTCCTATTGTCTGCTATTCTCAATACATTCATGCATGCTTCTGCTAAACATTGTCTTTTGTTGCAGAATGAGTTTCCAGAGTCAAAACACAGAAAGTTATGCACCTGGTGGCTCTGAAGAGAGGACTGGCCTAATGAGTACCTTTGTTGAGGGATCTGTGAGTGGGGTCGAGGGTGGGCGGACTAGATACGGATCTGTACAAAGCACTGAAGAAGCAGTTAATTCTATCCCTGAGGTAGAACACATGATTATATATATTTTTGTTTTATGTGCTTAATTTTTCATGGGAGACACTGTGGTGTAGCGGCTAAATGCTTGCCTCGGATCGGAAGGTTGGGATTCAGGTCTTGACGGTAGCCAGACATTTTTCAGTAAGCACCTTGGCTCACAGGTCGCCCAGCCTTAATTAGGAAGTAAAGGTGACCAGCATAATGCTCATCACCCACCAGGTGGCAATTTTCTGTAAAATGTGTCTAGCCCTATTTGTCCAGAATGCTTGAAAGTGGGGATAAGAGTCCTTAGTTTTTTATTTTATTTTTGGTAATCTTTTCTGCTCAAAAGTGAATAGTGATAATACATTTAATTTGAGAAGAGTTAATTGCATGTGCCTTTCTACCTACAAGTCCAACACCAACAATTATTGGCTGTGCATGAAAAGTGACAGATACAGAGCATGCTCAAAAAGGTCCAGACTAGTAAACTTTTGTCTGAAATAGGTGAGCAGCATCCAGAAGTTCTGCTTTGAAAAGTTATCATTGCTGTAGACACCAGGATTTACTTGGGTGAAAGGAAGTGAAAGAGCTGACAAACTGACTGTGTCTGCAGTGGTTGGCAGAGGAATTTTTCTTAATGATAGTATTGACATAACAGTGCAATAATCTGATTGAAAACTGTCTGCCGCTCCAGAGATGTTGAGAAAAATGAGTAAGCAACAGAGACGATGAACAAGTCTGTTGGAAAAGGGTATTTCACAGCAGAGCACAGTCATCTCACAAACTGGTTGCAGGGCAAAGAAAGTACTGGCTAAATTTGACATGTAGGCACAGAGGTACAGTGTCTATCGGATTTTTTTAATAGTACATGTGGATTATTTTTCGCAGTGCTAGGCATTATCTTTTCACAGCACAAAAACATTGTCTGACAGCATAAATACATTGTCTTTTCACAGTGCAAATACATTGTCTGACAGCATAAATACAGTTATCTTGTCACAGCACAAAATACAATATCTTTTCACATAGCGAATACAATATCTTTTCACATAGCAAAAACAATATCTTTTCACAGCAAAAATACAATATCTTTTCACGGTGCAAATACATTGTCTTTTCACAGTGCAAAAACATAATAATCTCACAGGGCAAATACAGAGAACCCTGTCTTTTAGACATAATAGAAGCAGATCTAGAAGTCGGCCACACAGACGACGGATAGGTGAAATATGTGAGGCTGTAAATACCAGCATCTACGCGCACATACCAGAGCATACCTAATGCTTCTTCAAAACCTGATGCTGAAAGGCAGAATAGGCCAGAGAAGAAGAACAAGAAGTGCAAATACATTTCTTTTGACAGCAAAAATGCACTTTATTCTCACAGTGCATATAGTTTCATCTCACAGTGCATATATATTTTCTTCTCACAGCAAAAATACATTTTCTTCTGACAGTGCGGTTTATTTTCTCGTTACAAATATATTTTCTTCTCACAGTACAAATATATTTTCTTCTCAGTTGAAAATATATTCTCTTCTCAAAGGGCATAGTTTCTTTTCAAAGTGCAAATATACTTTGTTCACAGTGCAAATATATTTTCTTACAGTGCAAATATTTCTTCTTCTCACTGTACAAATACATTATCTTCTCTTTGTATAAATAATTTTCTTCCCATTTTGAAAAAAATAGCTCATTTATGCAAATGGTACATTTATGTATTCCTGGTAGGCTAGAATTGTGGATCCCAGAAGTGAAACTGCCACCTCTAACAGAAGCAATAGGAATAACTCCAGACAGCAGGTGCCCGACCAACCAGGCAGTGAAAGAATGAGCAGAGAACCACCAGGAGGCACCCAGGAGGAAGACGAAGATGAGGAAACTTTGATGTATGGGGCCAAGCATGTCATCATGCTCTTCATCCCGGTCACACTGTGCATGGTGGTGGTGGTTGCTACCATCAGCTCCATCACATACTACACCGCTGGTGGAGTTTATCTGTGAGTCATGTTTGTCTTTTGTTTTCCTTTTATCTTTTCTTTCGTCTCTAACCTGGAGATGGCCACGTCACAGAAATTTGAGATATTGTTTATATTTTTAGACATAGATGTTGTTTGCAAAAGAAACACGGAAATTAAGCATAGCTGCTGAGAAACAGTAAATGGCAGTCGAAATGTTTTTTAAAGAAAATGCAAATGTAATAGACATTATTTTCATCCTGTAGCAAGTCCTCTGCAGAATGTCGCTGCCATTATGGTCTGCCTGAAAGCAACTCAGTCTATCGCTAGCTGTTCCACCTAATGCACTTTCCTACCCAAGGTGACACTTTTATCATGTTCCCATCTTCATGCTGGTCGACCTCCACCCCTCTTTCTTGGTGCTATGCCTTCTGTTGTTATTTTTTTCCAGTCCTCATGGTGCTTGATGTAGATAACTAATTCAGTTTTCTTTCTTTAGCATTTCAGCTCAGAAGCCTTGTATTCTTCCTTAATGACTGGGAGATAGACCACGATTGATATCCGTATGTTGATACAAGGGAAGTTGCATGCACTTAAAGTTTTGGCTTTGATTTCCTTGCTGGTGCTTAACCATAGACTTATAATGCTGTTTAATCTTTCCTTTGCTCATGGCATCCTTATTTTGACTTCTGTTAAACAGTCTCAGTTGAGGTTTATTATGGAACCTAGATATTTAGAGTTGGTGACATTTTCAATTTCTTCATCATTGATTGTTATTTTTGGGTGAGGACTGGAGATCAGGAAATAGAAACAAGATGCCAGTGAGTCAGTGCATTTATATACCAACTGACACTGTTATTAAGGCATCCATACGTAGGTATGAGGGCCAAGAAACAAATATTATGTTCATACCAGCACTTTACTGCTAGTCCCAGACTTGAATATTATTAGAGGCTAACCTAAACCTAGGTAAAATTAACACCTGTAAAATGAGATGCATGAGAAAAACTGCCAACTTAACCATCTGAGACAAAGAAATGATTTTAGCAGACCACCTGTAGGAAAAACAGTATGCAGCAATGCAATGATTTCACTCGTTGTCTAGTGGGTGTTTATGTGTGTGTCGTAAATGTTCTTATCACACACTCTACGTTACATAACTGGTACAAGCCGACACCGACTTAGCCGTATGAAACATCGGTTTTTTTGGCATGTAATAACTTACATATGAGTTCAGTCGTTGTCCTAATAACAGCTCTAACACACCACTTCACGCTGCCTTCAACAAGCAGGTTCCTCATGCATTCACTGACCAGAGTCTGCCCTGATGCATCTCGTTGATCTTCGGAACATTACACAGAATGGCCTGGCTGATCTTGACTTCACACGTCGTCGTCTGATTCTCCTTTCACCACAGCAATCTCACGTTGATATTCATACGCTCAGTCTCCCGTCCTTTTGCTCCAACAAGTCGACACAAAACTAACCTGATCATAATCAAGTCTGATCTTATACCACGGGTTAGTTTCACGTGGCAACACGTGGTGGTCCTTTACTTCCACATGGCGACCTTTGGTCGCGTCATCGTGATACACGTGATAACTCGTGGTCATCACCTATCTCAAGACCCTCGTTTAATCTGAGTATCTGGAATATCTCAGTGTTTTGGGTTATCCTTGGGCCTACCCCCCAACCTTCCTAATCTGGGTGAAAATATGCCCCATTAAACAGCAAATTCATTGAGAAACAGACGATTAGATGGTTTCGTCATCTAGTAAGAATGCAGCCAGAGCAACTACCATCTAAAGGCCACCCTAGGAGAGCATGGATTGATGACATTAAAGACACATAAACATAGAATGACAGTAGCCATTGCTGCCCATCAAGCAATGGATCGCAAACTGTTCTTCTCTGCAATGCTTAACAGCAGAAGTGAAAATTGATTTTAATTATGACACATGATTTAATGCAGTGTTTAGTTTAATTTTCAGATAATCTTCTTTATCAGCATTCCGAACCTTTAAGTTTCATTGGTACAGATACCACCCACCTCCATTCACCTGTGTTGTTGATCTTCTCTTTCCAGCTAGTGAGTCCTTGTGTTTGCAGGTCTGCTTGTATGATATCTCTCCACTGTCTTATTGTTCTGCCTGGTGGTCTTATCCTATTGAGCTCTTTCATGTACAGTTTTTGTTGTCTTATATTCTGATAATAGCTGTAAATAATATCAAATCTAAAATATCTGTGCAGCATTTACACTCCCTTCCATGATGTCACCGATGACACAGGAACCAAGCTATGGCAGTCCATGGCCAATGCTGTCATTTTGTTGTGTGTGATTGTGGTTATGACAGTTGTGTTGCTGCTTCTGTACAAGTACAAGTGTTACAGGGTAAGTAGGCAGTGTCACATGAGTGCTGTTTGTTGTCTCATTAGTGTTGTAGAGTGAGTGGTAATTATCACGTTTGAGTTGAGTTGAGTCAAGAATTGACATCATAGCATTTGGGACATTCCCATGCATGTTCCGTCCTCGTCTTCAATAGCCAGTGCAGAGTTTCAATACTGATGGTACCGGTAATTATCACATTTGTGCTGCAGAATGAGAATATTCTCACATTAGTGCAATAGAGGCAGTGGGCATTGTCACAGTGGAGAAGAGACCACCATTGTCATAATAATTCCACAGAGATATTGGCACCAGTAAGACAGAGGATTCCTGCATTAATTTATTGGTTTGTGATCATTGGTGTTTTAATGTTACCTGTAAGGATTGTTACATTAGTATTACTGAATGATTAAGGATTTAACACTCTCATTGTATATCCGTCTCGCCCTTCCGCTGAGTGTTGAGTATCTGCCAGATCCCATGGTAACCCCTTGCAGCGCCATTCAAGATGCTGGACAGTCTGTCATCATGGCAAGAAGGATCATCTGTATCAGAATAGATTGAAAGCACACAAGACAAAGGGTTGTGGATAAACATGACTATCAGTGCCACACGGCATGAACTTTAAGAAGAAGAGATATGAGCATTGTTACATTTGTGTAAAAGATTGTATGCCTGTGGATAATAATGTAATTCTTGGGAGGGGCTACTAGCAAGTAGACAGAGAGAAAGTTATCATTGGATTATATGACTTCTGAACAAGTCAAAAGATGTTAAAATTAAAAGTAATTGTACTGTATGTCCATTGAATAACCTGCTGGGGACCATTGCATTTTCTGTTTTGCAGGTAATCAATGGGTGGCTTGTGCTCTCATCGATCATGCTGTTGTTTTTCTTTTCATTCATGTATTTAGAGTAAGTATGTTTTTCTTTTATGTTTACTCTTTAGCATGTGTTTTTTTTTGTTTATAATGTGCTCATATATATACCAGATTATCCTGGAAAGAGATAATGCAACACAAAAAGTTGTAAGTGATGGCAGGGCAGGCCCTTAGCTTTGGTTAGCAGCTGGTCTAGGAGGAAAGCTCAGACAGGTGGGCAGAAAGAGCATTGCTGTTTCAATCAGGCAGCTTCTGCAGCAGGCTTTGGAGTATAAGGCAGGCCAAAAGATGGATCATGATACATGGGCAATGCATGGTTTCTACAGTACTGCCCAGGCTTTGTGCTATGGAGAGGAGGGAAAGACAGACAGGTGCCAGTCATTTTTGAGGTTTTAAACAACGAATCAACATCATGGTACACGGGTGTAACCCTTAAGTGCTCCGTTCTTCTTCTAATTCAAGTTTGAGTCCAAAGAAGCTCAGCGCTGTGCACAGGCTATGTAGCAACGGCAAGGATCCTGCAATACATTTTTGTTTAGATTTTTAACTCAAAATTTTGCCTGGGCAGCGCTGTTAGGATACTCTTTTCGATTTCCAACTGCCAATGGATTTTTTTTACGTGCACCACAATGCACTCAGGCGTCTGATCTCACTAACCAAATACCGGGGGAATTACTAGAGGTCCGTGTGAAAAAATTCTAGCCCTAATCAGGGATTGAACCCGGAACCTCTAGCACTCGAGGCGGACACCATGCCTGGAGACCACGCAGCCCCCTTAGCTAGTCATATGAACTAAATAAATCTTTGTTAAGATGCCCACCGGGGAAGATTGACTTTAGTCAGCAAATACAAAAAGGTTAAATATGTTGGCTGAAAGGCATCAACATCACAGCTCTGCTGTAAACAGGCACAGTGCTGTTACTTCCCATGCAAACAGTTTCATGCTGACAAAAAAAAAGACAACAAAAAATGGCAGGTGATTGAAAAAGTGAGTGTGGTGAGTTGATCAAATTCATTGCACTGTGTTTTATCCAGTCTGGTTTGAATTACATAGCTGCTGCAACAATAGCTTGGAAACTGACAAAGTCGTACACATAAACCAGACAACTCAATCCAGAAACAAACATACAACCTTCAGAGAGAAAAGCAAATAGCTTCACTTTTCTTTTCTTTTTTTGTATCACACATACCCCTTTTGCAACTGATCTATTCATATTTTTATGACAATTATTTTTTTAAAATAGATTTAATGCAGGATATTTTGTTGTCAATATTAATATTGCAGACACAATACACTGCAGTTTAAAACCTGGCATCTTTCACTTTATCTCGTCATGTGCATTACGACAGACTTGCATCAACATACAGTAAAGCACAAAAATGAATCCTTCTCACTTAAATACACAAATCACATTGTCAGTTTACATTGCACAAAAATCTGCCAGTTGACTCTACTTTATTATATGTTGATTTAACTCTGCCGTAATGTACCTGACCAGATACAGCGAAGTATGACAGGCAGTAAATGTTGCAAATTGTGTATTGTTTGTATCCGCATTATTTAAACTTTTAAAAATTGTCCTTTGCTAAACCAGGCAAATCCTTCGTGCCTACAATGCTCCTATGGATTACATAACTGCGGCAATAATCATGTGGAACTTTGGTGTGGGTGGGCTGTTCTGTATACACTGGAAGGGACCACTTCTTCTCCAGCAAGCATATCTGATTATGGTCAGTGCCCTGGTTGCTCTCATGTTCATCAAGTATATGCCCGATTGGACCACCTGGGCTGTGCTAGGGGTCATGGTCATCTGGGGTGAGTGATTTGGTTTTCTTTAGTTGTAATTTTGTCTGTTTAGCTGTCTGTTTCATGTTTTTCATCATTGTGTTGCAACAGAGATGAAATGCCTTAGAAGAGCTGCAGGAGTGTCAAGGAAAGACAAAATACGAAATCAGAAGAATGCCATGAATAAAGCCAGTCTTACAATTCATCAAAGAACAACAAATGAAGTGGTTTAGACACCTAACAAGAATGCCCTGGTACTATCTGCCACGAGTCACACTAAAACGTTACAACGGCTAAAGAGCCACACTAAAACGTGACAACGGGTAAAGAGCGAGTTGAAGACCTCAGAAATATGGAGTGATGGCATTAGAACAGCCTTACAGAAATGAACATCAGTCGTAATAGTTCTCTTGACAGAGCTCAACAACGAATGTTACATCTCCCCCCAACACCACTGAAGTACAAGATGAAGAAGAAGAAGAAGTATTGGCTGCTCTGGAAGATTGTAATATAAATATTATGCCAATCTCACAGAACTGTTTTTGGCTAACAAATGGTCAAAATGAACCATTACTACAACATCTTCTTTCTACAATCCATGCCGTGTGGCATTGGTTGTCATGTTTGTTCACAACTTTCAGTCTTATATCATTTCAGTCAGTTCTGACGCAGATGGTCTTCTATGCCATAATGTCAGACTGTCCAACATCTTCTCGTTCGGTCACCCTCTGCCACTTTTCCCCTCCAACTTTCAACCATCACAGTGTCTCCAGTTTTCTATTTTTCATGAAATGACCAAAGCATGTAGATTGTCTCTGAGGTCTCCTGATTTGGGCAATCAGTTCTCTTCATGAGTCAGTTTCTTTCAAGACATCTTCATTACTTTTTGTATCTGTAATAATTACAGACACTCGAAATTCTCTTCTTTTAAATATTTCACTTTTCTTCGCGATGACATCTCATCAGGCTACACCAGATACACTTGAGAACACGACATTCTCTAAGCACCTAATTTACCTGCAGGATTCAAGTTCACACGGCTCTACCCTGCTACAACAGTTCCATCTGTGACCACGTGGCCACCTAGAAATGAACGTAGAGACACAGCACTTGATTTGCTGTTCTCAGGCCTTGATCGATGCACGCAAAAACTGTATGGATAACAAGCACGTTTGGATATCGAAACAGAAGACTCAATGAACGCTATACTTTTGCTGTAATTAGTTACGCGGTGATCTCTCTCTCTCTCTTTCTGTCTACGCCGATTTATGTAGGTATTGGCTGAGCTGTTAATGATTATTATTAGTCATCGCTAGTGTATTACTATTGTTAGAACCTAGAAAATGTTAATGCAACCCCTGGTGGCTTGCAGAATACATTGTTCAAGCAATGTTACCCTACCACAAAGTATGCATCTCTTTCTGAAACCGTCCCTCGGGTGCACCTTTCTACGGCAGTCCTTTATTTCAGCCAACTTTCTGTCACAGCAGGGACTGTGTCTCATCTGACTAAGCTATTTGAATTTACTGTCCCCTTTTTTGGAGCCAGTCATGCCGACCTTGTGTGCATAGGGAATTCCCTGTGTCAGTGTCTTACATATTTGTGATCATTCGGCATGATTCTTCCCTTGTCTCACTCTCTCCCTCTCCCGATATATATATATATAAATATGTAGTCATGTGTGCTGCACCAGCAAGCAAGCGGGTGGCTGGTAATGAGTGTATGTATGTAAGTGTGTGTGTGTTTTCTTTAACTACTGCGCGTTTGAGAATGTTTGCTGGATTTTAGTAATACAGTGAGATAGTATTTTGGCTATGGGACACCAGTAGCACACATATATCTTCGTGTAGGGAGTCGGCAGTCCGAAACCCAAGTTCAAGGTATCTCCTTCGTGCCAAAGAACTACATGGCTGTTGGGTGAACAGTCGTTAACAAAGGCAGTCAGGTTGTTGTTGGGGCGAGGCTTGCTGGTGGATGTAATGTCCTAAATCCCTTCCCCAGCTAATAGTAGGGTACTGCTGGGGTGACAGTTTATTAAACCTCACATAATGCTTCAGGTCCAAATGAACACTAGGCACTGCCACTGTTTTGAGCCGAGGCATAAATTTTTGCTTTTGCCAGACTGTGGCTGTTGCTTTTTTGCTCCATTTATAGACTGGAAGTATATAGTTTCGTTGCCCAGCTTTTGAGCTGAGTGCATGGCATGACACTGTGACATGCGGATTTCATTTGGAATGTTTTTTGACTGACCAACGTGGTGGTGTGATTTGTAGACTCAGAAAATGGCGCGATGCCGGTTGTCGCAATATTGGTGGGGCCATTATTTGATTAAAATTGATCGCGTGTGCAACTGCTAATTTTTTAATGACTTCTGCTACCATCAATGATGAACTGCATTTCTAACGTCGGACTGTTTGTGTTAGCACTTCAGATGGCTACAATATGCTTTTAATGCTAGATTTGCTGAGACAGCAGTTTGTCAGTCTTTCCACAAGGGACTGTGATAAACATTCTGTGTGTTTTTCGTTGGCACAGGGGCGGAGCAAAGATGGGGTGACCCGTTTGCTATGAAGCTGAAATTAAAATTACCAGATCTTTCCAGGATATTCTCATCATTCGTCTGTAAAGCCACATCTTTGCCACTTACAAATAATTGTTACCCAGTTGTCCAGCTCTCCACAATTCACTTCCATGTTACCACAACATCAGAGATGAGATGTCTCAGAGCTACTGGAATAACAAGGGAAGATAAAGCGAAGAAATTAGAAATCTAGGACTGAAACCAATCGTACATTTCATTAAAGGGCAACATCTGTGTTCATACTTATATGACAAGTGTTTTTTTTTTTTTTTTTTTAGATTTGCAGTTGCTTTTCCAATGTGGGGAGAGGGCAGTCCACTGCTTCTTAAAAAGCTTGTCTTAAAAGTTGACTTATTAGGGATTTGTTGAAATTGGATATGTGGAGCAAAAGGGGTAAGATATCACAGTCTGGTTGTAAACCACAACACAATATGCTTAACACTTTTTAAGAGCAAACAAATCAGAAGAAAAAGACAGCTACTTTAAAGGCAAGAGGGTCGACTTCATTATAATAGGTTTTATCATCTGTTGCTCTATCTGCAGAGCATCTTTTACCTGCCAAAAGTGTCACACAAAGCATGAGCCTGTAGCTTCAGTGACAGCCCCCAATGATTTCTTATACACTTCTGAAGGGTGGCATCTGAAACTGAAGCTGTTTCAGAGCACAAAACAAGTGACCTAACTATTTCACCACAGGCATGCTCCAACAGTTATGGATAAATGTTGAAAATTATTCTATAGGCTACTTTATACTTTCTCTTTTCAGATTTAGTTGCTGTTTTGTGTCCAAAAGGCCCACTAAGAGTGCTTGTTGAAACAGCTCAGAGTAGAAATGAACCCATTTTCCGTGCACTTATATATTCATGTGAGTCTTTTAATTATTCTGGGAAGATTTTGTTTTCTTATATGTTGATTATTTTATAATGATAGATTTGTATACTGAAATTGTAATGCAGTTTGTACGAAATGTACCAGGAATATCAGTTGGTGGTTAAAATGTAAACATCCTAAGATGCCCTGATATTACTTTCATTGTTGAAAAGGAAATACGCTTGCAAAAAAATTGTGGATGTAATTACAACAAACTGTTTTAGTAATACTGGGGAAAAACCAGAAATAATGGTAGGTAATCACACAAAAGAGAAAAAATTAAATATGTTTTTTTTTAAAACTCTGAGAAAGGTGTTAAAAATGTCATCAAAACACAGTTAATAATTAATTTCATTCATTGTGACTAATTATCCTATAGTTAATAATTAGTTTATTCCATATTTCGTTTATTTTCCAGAATAAACAATGAGTGTACTTCATTATTAATAACTATCACAATTAGTGTATGTCATTGTGAGTAATTATAGCACTGTTAATAATTAGTGTATTTAATTGTGAGTAGTTAGCCCACAGTTAACAATTAGCTTAAGTCATTGTGAGTAGTTACCCCACAGTTAACAATTAGTGTATGTCATTGTGAGTAGTTATCCCACAGTTAACAATTAGTGTATGTCATTGTGAGTAGTTATCCCACAGTTAACAATTAGTGTATGTCATTGTGAGTAGTTACCCCACAGTTCACAATTAGCTTAAGTCATTGTGAGTAGTAAGCCCATAGTTAACAATTAGCTTATGTCATTGTGAGTAGTTATCCCACAGTTAACAATTCACATATGTCATTGTGAGTAATTATTCCACAGTTAACAATTAGTGTATGTCATTATGAGCAATTATATGACATTTAACAATTAGTGTATATCATTGTGAGTAGTTAGCCCATAAAAAAGTAAAGTAAAGATTCCTTTTCACGCCTTTCGACGCATCGGGCATATGGGCAGAGCGTCCCATATTTTTACAGACCATCAGCACTCTGTGGGTAATGTGGTCAGCATTACGCCGGCTGTCTTTACTTTCCCAGGACAGCCCATCCTGGTACCCATTTTAGGCTGGGTCGACCTGCGACGCCCCATACCACGATAAAAATCCACGCAGCCTGCAGTGGGTTTCGATCGCGGTATGCTGGCTTACTAGTCGGACTCGCAATGCCTTAGCCACGGACGCCGCTAGTTAGCCCATAGTTAACATTTATTGTATTTTATTTTTTTTTATTTTGTGAGTAATGACCTGTTTTTTGTGAGTAGTTATTCCACAGTCATGTTATGTTATGTTATCACAATCGACATCTCAGCACATTGGGCATCCCCAGGCGTGCTCACTTCTCCAATGCAGCAGCCACTGCAAGCTACCTCTACTGATTGTTCCCATAAGGAGTTGGTTATAGTATCTCCTCTCTGTACCATATTTTTGATTCTTACCCCCAAGAATGGATACATGTCTATACTGATGGATCAGCATTTAAAGCTACCATTAAAGCAGGTTACGGAATCTACATAGGTTATCCCGATGGATCTGTTGAAGAGATTTTTGATGCATGCGGGGAATTCTGTTCAAACTATGAAGCTGAAATAATTGCACTGGAAACAGCAGTATACCACCTAAAGACTGTAATGGATGTTTACCCTTCAAAGGTCCAAAATATTGTCATCTTCACAGATTCAATGTCTGCCCTTCAAGCTCTGGAGGGCAATGAACACTGCAGAAACTGACATAGCCAAGATAATCCTGGATGCCGATCAGCTTATTACCTCATACAACATCAGAATAGTGATGCAGTGGATTCCAGGTCACTCCGGCACACCAGGTAATGACAGAGCTGACAGATTGGCAAAGAAAGGAGCAACACAAGAACAACCACCTACAGCGACAACCCTCCAGACAGCAAAAACACTGATAAGAGCTATAAACAAAGAGACTTGGTTGAACAGATGGGCCATGGGAGACACTGGAAGAGAGGTTTATAGACATATGTCTGGCCCTGATCCTAATGACAGCATTAACCATCTAACAAGAAGGGACCAGGCCACCATCTTCAGACTTAGAACGCAACATACTCCACTCAATGGACACCTAAACAGAATACAGCCACAACACTCCCCAGAGTGCCAGCTATGTAACTACCCCTACGAAACTGTTGAACACCATCTCTTTGAGTGCCCAAAACTCAGTGAGACAAGAAGAACGCTACTCCCTCCGAGACCAGACAAGTGGAACACCTTGTACGGAGGAAAAGAACAGCTTGTGAAAACATGCAAATTCCACTACATGGCATTGGGCCAAAGGGCGAAAGCTCATGCGCCGCTGGATCGATAACAACAACAACAACTCTGTACCATATTTAGGACTGCCATTTATTTGTCACTATGTTTTTATTCATTTTTTCCCCCAGCTACAATGATGTGGCCAGTAACAATGACAATGGCCGACGATGGAGATGCACCAAAAAAGAAACAGAAGAAGAAGAAAAACTTAAAAACTGGTGAGTTTTCAAAATATCAAGTACCTTTTTAGCTGGCTTAGGCAAAGTGGTTGAGCCGTTTGCCTTGCACATTTTTTTCCCAGATGTACCAAAAAAGAAACAGAAGATAAACTGATGAGTTTTCAAAACATCAAGTACCTTCTCAGCTCGCTTAGGCAAAGTGGTTGAGCCATTTGCCTTGCACATTTGAAGACTGCATTCATATGTTCGCATGTGCACTCTTTACTGAGATCCCTAGGGATCTTCGTTGGAGCTGTGGGGTTGATGCTTTATGTGATTTTCAGCAGGCAACTAGTCATTTTGCAGAGTGTCTGTACTTCTGCTAAAAGTCTGTGCTGTTTGGGGTTGATAGTCGTGTCCATCACAACCTTCTGTCTTGTGTACCCTTGGTCAGTTCTGACGCAAATGATCTTCCATACCATGATGTCGGACTATCCAGTATCTTCTCTTGGTGTTCCTCTGCCTCTGTTTCCCTCCAACTTTCCCACCTTCACTATGAACTCCAGTTTTTTTCCTTCTCATCACATGATCAAAGAATGTAGATTGTCTCCTCTTGATAGAGCAGAGAATGCTGTTCACATTTTACCAGCACTTAATCATCTCAGTGATTGATTATGGATTGGGGTTGCTTACTGTCTCGAAGAGGCAGCTGGAAAAACTGGAGCGCATACAGAATTAAGATTTAAGATATGGAGGTGATCCTTGAATGTACAAGAGACACCCTGATTGTTTGCATGCAATACATCCTTGCATTGCTGACTATTTGCAGATAGAACCTTTGCTAAACATGAAGAATGGGGGTAACTGCAGCTTTCTGGTGGCAAGAGAGCAAGATGCATACACATGTCATAACTGTAATAGGCTCTGAGAGCATGCTGTGAAATGTGAAGACAGGGATGCTTTGAGTAGAGTGGCAAGCTTCACTGGGAAGGTCATAGGTAGTAAGCATACTTTGAATCTTTTCTCCAGGCTGTGCTGGCGTGGGTGGGGAATGAATAGGCAGACAGATTGGCTGGATCTGCACCACTGGGTGGCGAATCGATACATGACAGGGCAGATGTGGTCAGGGCCTTTTAAACATGCAACTGAGTCAGAAGCGAAACAAGATTATTATGGCCTGGAGAGAATGAGGCACCTGGGTGTAACCAGGAGGTCTGGCCGGCTCACTACACTCAGGGAAAAGACAAGATGGTCATATAACCAGATTACGACTGGTACCATTATTATTGGAACTCTGCCCTGGCTGCTGAAGATGAGGACACATAAGAATGCCCCGAGTGTTGTGATGTCAATTCTTGACTCAACTCTTCCTGATGTAGACAGTCAGTTCTCTTTGTGAATCAGTTTCTTTCAAGCCATCTTCATAACTTTTTCATAACTTTTTTTTTTTGCTATCCACCCAGAATGTTAGCATCATTTGTCTGTAAAACCACATCTCCGACGCTTCTAAATAACTGTTCACTAATCGTCCAGCAGTCAGTTATTCACTTCTGTATGTCAGTACTTATAATTCTGTTTCTCATCCCATTTGACCAAGCTATATGAGATAAAAGTAGCATTGTTCTGTACATAAGATTTGTAACAGTATCATCTTCCAGATGCATGGTCTTCCCAGGGAGACAACTATATCTGCAATGTAAGTTTCGCTTTCAGGTCCTTCCAGTGCATTTCCCTCGGACCTGCATTTTTTTCCCCAGGCTGATTTTAGCCTTCTCACAAAAACATCTGCCCACGCCTGTTTGATAACAGAATATTGAAGTGATTCTTCGGAATTCTGAGGATTAATTCCGTGTTGGTGGTAATTTTTCGAAACAATTTTTAAAAATAGCTCTTGTATAAAGCTTTCTAAAGTTGAAAAAAAAATGTATCTCTTGTTATCATACCTTTGTGGGATGCAATTTTTCGTTATTTGAAGCCCTTCTCTGGCTCTTGCCAGGGGCTGCAATATAGCCCAGCCATAAATATGGTCTAATGGCTGAACGTGGTTTCTGGGACCTCTCCACGGGTGATCTTCATCCACGTGGTGGCACTTTGTGTCACTAGGTGTTTATCGCTTGTTTGATGTCCTGGTGGGGAAAAAGAAGATAGATAGAGATAAAACACATTGATCCATTGGTTGTTCAATTGATCTGATATTAGAAGGCAAAAATTTTTGCTTTTTATCCGATTCTTCATCCAACTATGGTGGATGTCCATTGTAAGAACTTTCTCAGGCAGACCCTTTTTCTTGTTGATACCTTTTCATTGTGGGAGCAACCTCTGTCATCCACTCACAGAAGAATTGCCTGGTTATCCAAGCTCTGCTGTTACTTTCCACATAAAGTTCAGTTTGTGTCTGTTAACTTTCTGTTGTTTAAAGACTTTAGGATATTTGGAGGGATAAACCAACAGAGTTTTTATCTTCAGATCACCATTGGTGCTCGTGTGCGCACACACATACACACAGTAAAATAAGTCTTGTCTTTCATCAGCTTGTTTCATTGCCATTTCCTCTTTATTGATAAATATTCTCTTAGACATTGTCTTCCAGAAAAGCCCAGTTTCATTGCAGTTGCAAACTCATTCTGGTCTATAACCCTCGGACTCCATCAGTTTCTGAAATTTCTTCACAAAGTTTTCGGCGGCTTTTTTGGTTTATTCCTCATCATTATAGTCCCATACAACTGCATGCATGTCATTGGGTCAGTGATTGCTGTTGACTTCTGAATGGTTCCCTCCACCTCTGCCAGTCAGATGCAATGCACCTGTTTATATATTTAAGGCATGTCAAGTCAGCCAAATTCAGTATCCAGGCTTTCTCGTTCTGCCTTTTCTCCTTTTCACTCCCCCGAACCATTTTGGGGAGGCAGTATATTTTGTTACACTATCAGTCATTTCTTTCCGTCGTTTCAACATTGTTAAACATTGGTAGCCAATATTTTAAGTGATGATATGGCTAACTTTTGTCATTTTTGATGTGGTCTCTAAATGATTTGCTGGTAATCTCTTGAAAAACACTATAGTTAACTAGTTTGTAACTAGTTTTTTTTTTTTTTAACTGAATCAATTTTAGGAGCTCAGAATTCGTCCCTTACTACACCTTTAGAAAAAGACATGGATGATGATGATGGTGGATTCACAGAGCATGTTGCTAATGGTACAAACAGGCAACACAGTCTTACGGCAAGCCAAGACTCACAGACAGCTCGTAATGCTGTGCAAGCATTTGGGGATATGATGCAAGGTATGGTTATAATTTAATTTGCTATTCTGAAACTTGTAAGGAAATTAAAGCCAAAAGAATGTATATTCCCTGAAGCATCCTACAGATGTGAGTGCTGGACTATCTCGCAGTCATTAAGAAAGAAAATATGGGTTTTTGAGATGGGAGAGCTGGCAAGAGATCAAGTTTCTTTCAGGCAGACCACAGTGTTTTGCAAAGGACCCGCTACGTGATAGTTCTTCTGAAACATTTTATTTACATCTCTATGACCTAGAAGTCAGTGTACATGTTTTAACAGTTTCATAATCCTCTAGTTTTAGTTTTTATGTTAAGCATTTTTTTTAATGTGGTGGGATCGTATGGTTTACAGAAGAAGTATGAGTGCTGCACCATGGAAAGATATAAAACCGAACCAAAAGTAGATCAGCGAGCTTCACAATATAACAAACACAGACTAAAAGTGAACGTAGCGGCTATAGAGGCCTTCATATACAAATGAAACAACACCACACAAATACACAAATCACCTAATTGATGTATCCTAAAGCAGCCACGTTGATATCTTGCCAGTGGAATGAAGAGATGTGTAGCCTCCAGAATAAATAGTCGAGAATGCCAAGGGCTATAACTCAAGAATTTTAGACAAAAACTGTCTTGACAGTTCATTCCCCTAGGTATTTAGGTCCCCAAGGTGAAAATAAAGCAAATCTCAAGAGACTTTACACCATGGATGAAATGCACCTCACAGTGTAATATTCCCAGTGACAGCAGTGGGTGCAGTATAACCAACCTTCATTGTGTGATTATACTTCTGAAGAGGCAGTTAAGTAGTGAGGTTGCTCATTTGTGATTGAGGTTCTTAAAGGAAGCATAGAATAGTAGTTTGAATTCTGAATGAATATTGAGAGGCTGTCGAGGAAGCTCTAGAGAAGACAACCGAATTTATAAAGTAAAACCATGAAAGAATATTCATTTTAGAACTATGATGCCTGTCAGAAACCTAATTGTCTAGAGTTCGATTCCATTGGCTCTGCTATAGGCTAATGACAGGAAAACACTGTAAAAACACACTCAAGCCAAACACTGGTTGCAACACACACACAATCTTTATTATCAAAGATACAAACGAAGTGGTGGTACACCTCAGGAGGGGTAGCTCTCCTTATTCTGAAACCAGGCCGCGTCTAACTTTAAAATCGCTTAGAGGCGCCTTTACACGTTCATGAAATAAGCTCTGAGCCGCTACCACTCTCCCGTTAGTGTCAGCTCAAACCGCTGTCTCCCGATGCCAAAGACGCTATGGCATACGCAACGTGAAGTCCTAAGTGTGTCGACAGTGTTAACGCCACCAACAATGCATGGTCTGGCTTCTAGTTACAACTAATGACACAGTCTAGCTACTACCTTACATGAGATATTAACTGAGATTAACTAGGACACACACTAGGAAATACATTTAATGACACTACGAACAGAACGCGTTACATCTAATAACTACACTGGTACCTTTCTACAAGTCTAAACAAACTGTCACTCAAAATCTACCACAATCTCCACTCTCGTCCCACGTCCAGTTTCCTAGCAGTCCCCCATGCAAGCGTCCAGCGTCCGGTCCAAAATGTGCAGAGTCTACTCTGCGCACCCTTGCGAAGTCCGCTGGTCAATGACCAAGCTACGTTTTGCTCATGAGTTCATGCTCGTTTCTAAGTGTGTATACACGTACTGAGTTGCACTGAGGGTCGCAGGGTATGATGACGAGATACATCATCGAACTGAACTGTACCATAACAGGACGAACCCTGACAATGCCATGTCATGCAAACTTTAAGGAGTGTGGGTTACTGATCTGTAGACAGCAAATAATAAATCAGCATGTGGTGGGTCATGTGGTCATCATCATGACAGCTGCCTTTACTTCCCAGGACATTAGGACATCACCTGGTGTTTTAGGCTGAGTACAATGACTTGGCACTTAAAGAGAGGCATGTGCCCTTGACTAGCGACATTGTGAATACATACATAGGATAGACTCTTGCGAACGTCGGACCGGCAACGTTAAAGGATTAGAAAGTCGGAATAAGATCATGTCAGGATTATATTGACAGAAATGGTTTAGCCATCTAGTGAGAATGTAGCCAGATCAAACTGCATATAAGATTTTCTACAGCAGAACATCTGGGAGGAAGGCGGGAGGAAAACCAAGAAAGAGATGAAAGAATGATATAGCGGAAACCTGCAAAAAGATGAACAAATCCATTACCCAAGCCACCCGAGAAGCACAAGACAGATACAAAAAACAACGACACTTTGCTACAACCTTGAATCAGTGAGATGACAAAAGAAGAAAAAAAAATATATGTATGTACACTTTGCGGGTGCCTGTAGGCATGCTTGCAGGAATATGTTAGTGCTTCGTTAAAATCTACATTCTGTTGCACTGAACCAGTTGTTCCTGTGGCTTAATCATGTATTTTGTCTGTACATACTTTAATAAAATCTACATTCTGTTGCACTGAACCAGTTGTTCCTGTGGCTTAATCATGTATTTTGTCTGTACATACTTTAATAAAATCTACATTCTGTTGCACTAAACCAGTTGTTCCTGTGGCTAAATCATGTATTTTGTCTGTACATACTTTAATAAAATCTACATTCTGTTGCACTGAACCAGTTGTTCCTGTGGCTTAATCATGTATTTTGTCTGTACATACTTTAATAAAATCTACATTCTGTTGCACTAAACCAGTTGTTCCTGTGCTAAATCATGTATTTTGTCTGTACATACTTTAATAAAAATCTACATTCTGTTGCACTGAACCAGTTGTTCCTGTGGCTTTAATCATGTATTTTGTCTGTACATACTTTAATAAAATCTACATTCTGTTGCACTAAACCAGTTGTTCCTGTGGCTTAATCATGTATTTTGTCTGTACATACTTTAATAAAATCTACATTCTGTTGCACTAAACCAGTTGTTCCTGTGGCTTAATCATGTATTTTGTCTGTACATACTTTTATAAAATCTACATTCTGTTGCACTAAACCAGTTGTTCCTGTGGCTTAATCATATATTCTGTCTGTACATACTTTAATAAAATCTACATTCTGTTGCGCTGAACCATTTGTTTCTGTGACTAAATTATGACTTCTTTTTGTATTTCAACCAGATACCCCTCGTACAGATAGAAATCTGGCTTTTCATACAAAAGAGGCTAGCACCGCAAACAGTGTAAGTGCACTGGCTGGAGGAGGGGATGCTGAACCGACTACCAGATTGGATATTGACCAAAGAGACGGAGCCGTTGTACCAAACTCTAGATCACAGAGCAGTGCCAGACCATCTCAGGCTCCACCGCAGCGCAGGGCTCTGGATTCTGACAGCGTTAACCAAGATGAAAGTGATGAAGAGCGTATGTTTTATTTAGTTTTTACCCTTTACTTGTGTCCGGAAATGCCTCATTTCCAAGATGCTTCCATTATATCTTAACTTCCATTAAGCTTACATTATATCTTAACTTCCATTAAGCTTACATTATATCTTAACTTCCAAGATGCTTACATTATATCTTAACTTCCATGATGCTTACATTATATCTTAATTTCCAAGAAGCTTACATTATATCTTAACTTCCATTAAGCTTACATTATATCTTAACTTCCATTAAGCTTACATTATATCTTAACTTCCATTAGGCTTACATTATATCTTAACTTCCATTAAGCTTACATTATATCTTAACTTCCAAGATGCTTCCATTATATCTTAACTTCCAAGATGTTTACATTATATCTTAACTTCCATGATGCTTCCATTATATCTTAACTTCCATTATGCTTACATTATATCTTAACTTCCATGATGCTTACATTATATCTTAACTTCCATTAAGCTTACATTATATCTCAACTTCCATTAAGCTTACATTATATCTTAACTTCCATGATGCTTACATTATATCTTAACTTCCATTAAGCTTACATTATATCTTAACTTCCATTATGCTTACATTATATCTTAACTTCCAAGAAGCTTACATTATATCTTAACTTCCATGATGCTTACATTATATCTTAACTTCCAAGATGCTTACATTATATCTTAACTTCCAAGATGCTTCCATTATATCTTAACTTCCATGATGCTTACATTATACCTTACATCCACTGCCTCACTTCTATGACCTGCTGCACTGAGGATGAGGGTGGTTTTTGGTGTAGTGCTGCGACTCCTGCTGCAGAAAGTTAAATTCTTAGTCAGCTTCAAATCTAGATGAAGGGTGGTTTGAGCACTAGGCTTTCATATGGTAGAACCAGGTTGGATATTTGGTAAGGGGCGGCAATTTTTTTCTGTCGGGTGGGGGGGGGGGGGGATTTTTTACTCTCACGGTTTGTGGCGATTGCACTGGCAATGTGGCCTTAAATCCTCATGCTCGTCTAACATATCACCTTAAAAGTGGTAAATATGTGTGTTTAAGACTTATTTTTATCTAGGCCTTTTTTTTTTTTTTTTTATCAGAAACCATAAGTTGTCAACCCTTTGGCTCAGTAGTATGGATATCGCAGCCCTTCAGCCTTGATTCCATGATAGATACCCTAAATCTGGGAGATATGTGGCTTTTCTGCCTACCCTCAGGCATGAACATGGACCACAAGAAGATCGTCACCCGGTCGCCACGCAGTTTAACCAACTGGGTCTAAACCTGCAGTGTCTTGTTTTCTCACATTTGCTACCCTGAATATGCTGTGTATATAATTAGATACATTCCTGAGTGGCCAAACTTCAAAATAGAGAAAATAGCACAGACCTCATCCAGGACAGGCGATGGTGACCTGTGACCTCCTAAGCTTATAGTCAGGGCACATAATAATGATAATTGAACAGATAGTGGCAAATTTATCCTTGATTGTATCACAACCTGTTTGTTCTTCAATTCAAAATTGGTTACTCCGTCAGGTGGCGTTAAGCTCGGCTTGGGAGACTTTATTTTTTATGGAGTGCTTGTAGGCAAAGCTTCCTCAAATGGTGACTGGAACACAACTCTGGCCTGCTTCGTTGCTATACTTATAGTAAGTATTTATTCTTTATTAGAGTTTTCTGAATGTTTGGGTTTATGGAAGAACAGGTTGTATTTCATGGAAATGCAAATTCATATACATAACATCTGAAGAAATTAGGAATGAAAAGAGAGTTAGTCTTTCCTCTTGAGCCAAGGGTGGGGCAGAGGTCATAGTGGGTATATGGAAGAACAGGTTGCATTTCATGGAAGTACAAATTCACATACGAAGCTGAGGCTGAGGGCAGCGCATAAGGCAGAGGTCATAGCTCTCTGTATCTGGCAGTTCGTTGCCACCTCTTTTAGGTAAGATGATTAGGCCCATGGTTGAGCCTTCCCTGATGCTGGTTCCATCCAGGGTCTCTCTTGGGAAAAGGAGGTTGCTTTGGGAAATAAAAGGAAGAAAAGTGAAATATGTTTGCTTTATTAAAAGACATAACATACTTAAAAATATTATACTGGAGAGAAAGTTAAAGACACGCTAGCAAGGGGCAGAGAGCGATACAGTCTTAGAGAGTGTACATTCAGGGTGAAGGATAGAGATCCATCGCAGCCAAATAATTCGTAATCATTTCAGCCGTGAACGAGATTTTTATTTATTTGGAGGAACAAATTTCTTTTTCTTTCTGCATATGTTTTTATTTTGTTGAGTTTCCACTGTCCCTTAACAAGCATATAACATCGGAATTGGAACTCTGCACTAGCTGATGAATGTGGGGATGGAGTGCTTATAGGAATGTTCTGAGTGCTATGGTGTTGGTTCTTAGCTTATGTTAACTCTTTCAGGCCCATGAAGTTTTACAGACTTGGCCTACATTAATTTCCCTTTACAAAAATAGCAGAGAGAGTGGTGTACAGAAAGGGCAATAGAGAATGTAATATGCTTCTAATAACTACAAAAGTATATATATACTTTTGAAGAGAAATTATTGTACATTTTGAATATGATAATAAGTGTATGTTTTGACTGTTATAGTTAGTTGCAAAGAAGAAATCAGCAGGTGTTCATTTCACAACAAAATTGTACACATTTCTTCACTTAACATGGTTTTGCAGCCATAAGAACAGTGAATATCCAAATTTGAGAATAAACTTTGTTCAGTTTCCTAACATATTCCAAAGTTATAAGTTTCTGGATTAGTTTAGCACTCAGGGGCTCTAAGTTCTCACTGAGTGCTGAACAAATTTTCAGAGAGGTAACCTTCCCTGAAAACTTTAAAAGTAGTTCCGAACATTAGAAACAAAAACGGAGCCATGTGCGAAGCAGTATGTACGGGACACACGACGATTCAAACTCACAGCATTGCTCGGTCCTTAAAGAGTTAAACATGTTGCAAAAGTTAGTTAGTTCGGTTATCATTACACTCCGGACATGTTCATAGGGGCTAAGATCCTGCCCCCTGTATGAACCCCAGCATCCGGTGGCTAAAAGTACCAGTTCTGTGTTGTTGATTATAAAAAGTCATCTGATGTGCGTCTCATGTTTTACTGTGCCGATCTTAACTCCCAAGTCTATCATTCTGGCAAGTGATGTGGACTCAATGCCCCCAAAGTCCTTTCTTTACTCTTCCTATGCCGTAAAAGATGACTAATTAGGAATTGGCCAAAATAGGATGTGTTGGGCCGAAAGGCACGGACAGATATGGCAGCTTAGCTGTAAACCACAACACAATGTACCAACTCCCCTTTTAAGGGTGATTGCAGAAAAAGATTATATCATCATTATGTGCCTTGTCGATTTGTACAGGTGATCATGCTTCTCCACATAGAGCTTCCAGTCAATATGGCAGAAAGATATTTTTTTTTTAAACTATATTGTAAGCCATGTGAAATGTCATGGTGGTCTGGAGAGAATGGTGAAGGAGGGTACTTCTTCTGTTGTCATCTCTCTGATACCAGGTTATAGCCCAGTGTCAGGGTTTTCTGTATTTGTCTTACGCTTCTCGGGTGGCTTGGGTAATGGATTTGTTCATTTTTTTGCAGGTTTTGACTACACCATTTATTCACCTCTTTCTTGGTCTTCCTCTCGCCTTCCTCCCAAATGTTCTGCTGTAAAAAATGATCATATGCAGTTTTGCCTGGATGCGTTCTCATTAGATGGTTCAACCATTTTATTCTTTGTCAGTATAATCCAGACATGGTCTTATTTCAAATTGTTAGTGACGGTGGAAACAGCTTATTTCACTAGTTGTTATTTTCTATTCTAGTGCCCTATTCATTGTCCATGTTTGGCGCTAGTAATATAAAGTAAGGATAAAGATGCTATTAATCATTTGCTGGAAGGGAGACATCTGGGTGTCTAAGCAGTGCAACTAACTAGTAGGTGACAGCATTTGCAAGAAGGGAACAGTGTCTGGGAAATGAAGCAGAGGGTGACCTCCATAAAAGTGGATACAATACATTGATATACATTGGCTGTGAAAGCACATAGGGCTGGAGAATTGGCTAGAGAAAGAGAGACTTTCAGGTGTGCCATGATGATAGTGGCATCCTGTAAAGGAAACTGCTGATTGGTGATAACTGTATTGTAACTTTGTTTGTTTCAGGGACTGTGCTGCACATTGCTTTTATTGGCAATTTTCCGCAAGGCTTTGCCAGCCCTACCCATTTCCCTGACGTTTGGACTTGTGTTCAACTTTGCCACCAGCTCACTTGTCCAGCCTTTCATGGATAGTCTGGCCAGTGAGCAAGTGTATATTTAGCTGGCTTTGTCTGGCATTCTCTCACTGGAGCTTGGGAGCTTGTTCAACAGACTATGAACCTAGCTATGAAGTCTGTCTGATATAAATCTTTTATCTCTGTCTTCTGGTTTTTTCCTATATTTGTTTCTCTCTCTCTATCTCTCTCTCTCTCTCTCTCTCTCTCTCTCTCTCTCTCTCTCTCTCTCTCTCTCTCTCTCTCGTCTCTCGCTCTCTCTCTCTCTCTCTCTCTCTCTCTCTCTCTCTCTCTCTCTCTCTCTCTCTCTCTCTCTCTCTCTCTCTCTCTTCCCCCCCCCCCTTTTTTTTTAATCTAGCATGGGGGAATTCTGTCACTGGAAGTTGGAGCTTGTTCAACAGAACCATGAACTAAGCTACTAAGTTTTTGTTATAAAAAATCTTTTTTCCATCTGTCTACCTGTTGTTGGTTTTTTAAGTGTAAATGACTTGAGACTTTCATCCTGAGAAACTGAAAAATCAGTTTTGACATATTACAGATTCCTGAGTAACCACTGTTTCAGTTTCCTTGCATTGGCCAGTCCTTGAATAAGGGAGGGAAAAGTTATGTCAAAGTTGTCCATGCCAGTTGATGTAATCATATGGGTTTTTCATTGTCATAACCATTTCTTCATCTAAGAATATACAAACACATAAGTTAGTCAATGTTTCCTCCATGTTGTAGGTATTTAATTACACACGGACTCCAACCCCATGTTTTGTAGGAGGAGAAACAAGCTTTGTCAATTTGAGGGGACTTCAAATGAAAATCTGGAAAGGGGGCATAGAAATTGCAATAACCATGACATTGTCTTGTAAACTGCCAGTATCCTTGTTAAGGATGCCAGTAGTGTCTAGCATCGGGGTATAGATGAATACGGTGGCATTATAATGACAGTTAAAAGATGACCGACCTACTTTTGACATGTACCAACAAAAAGAGCAGCGCTTTTGTTATTTTTTGGGGTCAATGCAGGGTTGAAACCTGAGGAAATGCATCGGCGAACGAAGGTCCAGTATGTGTATGAGTGGAGTAAGCCACTTCTGTAACAGGCTTTCCATGTTCATTCAGATTGTTTCATCGCTGTGCCGTTCAGTTCATGGGTGCAATTTTTAGGGAGATCCCTGGGGATCGTCGCAGGAGCTGCAGATTGCTTGCTCTGTGCGGCGCTCTCGGCAGGCGGCTAGACCTTCTACAAAGAGAGACAGAGCCAAATGGAATAAAATCCAGTACAATGAAGTTGATCCTCTCGACTTTAACCTTTAAACTTCATGACCAGGTCAAGCATGCCAAGTAGGGGTGAAAATAAAGCGAATCTCCAGACTTTGCACCATGGAAGAGATGCACCTCAGAGAGTAAAACTCCCAATGACAGCAGCAGGTGCAGTATAGCCAACCTTCATTGTGTCATCATACTTCTGAAACTGAAACCCAATGCACAAAGAAGAAGAAACTGTCATTATGTCGCTGCGTTATTCTGCACCGTGATGTCACATGCTTAACACTCTTGACATCCTTAACAGCAAGATAACAAGATGAGGGCATGGTTAATGTAATTTCTGTCACACTTTTAAGGTTTTCATTTGAAGCCCCATCATAGTTCCCCATTGGTGTAATCCTGTGCTTTTTCATTGTCATAACATTTCATTGCGGTTTATCCCATTGTTCTGTGTCTGCATGTTTATGTACTTTATGCTCTGCGTAAGCTTCATTCTTGTGTAATTCCATATTTTGTTTCTTTGTCACATGCACAGAAAGTTGATTTGTTATGTTAAAACGAGTATTTGTGAAAGTGTTTAAACTTTTCCTTGACATCTTTATCCATAAACGGAAGGTTTTGTCTTTTTCATATAATCAGATGTCTTATTCTTCTTCTTCGCGTTCACCAGCTGTACACTCTGGCAGAAAGTTCTGGTTGCTCGTCCACTACTGAACTGCAGTCCTGCTCCAGAACCTGAGTGTTGCGTGTGCATCAGTTTTACAAATCTCATTCTCTTGAATACTTGTTGACCTTGCCTCTCCAGCAGATGCACTCCGACTTCAAACAAAGCTCCCCAGTCGACTCTTACAACAGGCCAGTGGGTCTATTCTTGTTTTCCCCACAATGGGGCCCCGGAACCCACACGGGAGAATATAATCAGATGTGATTATCTGGTATCACAGATTGCTGTTTTAAGAGCTTGTGACTTGATTTACTCAAAACAAAGTCACAGTCACTCAGGCCAATCTGGTCATAACATCACGTTGCCAAGTTTGATCAGCAAAAGTCCAGATATTTCTCTGTTTATCCAGTGCAGCAGACAAAGACCATTTTGACCTGTGTCTTACAGTGGGTCTGGCAGTGTTTGGTTAGACCAGTCGGAAATGGCTGTCAGAATGAAAGCAGATAATTGAGGACCATTTATCAAACGGAGTTAACTTTTGATTTTCATATGGAAAGTTTCCACTTTTGCAGTCAGTTAAGCATTGTAGGAAGAATGATTTCTTTTCAGTGATCTACGGTCATTTGCTTTATCCACTGTGGGCTGTAAACTTGAATGTCCACTTGGGTTCTCTTAGGTTTCTCCCAAAGTTTATTTGTCAAGTCAGCTTGGTCTGTTAGAGCATTTCTGGCTTCATCACTGATAGTTAAGTTGGTGGCTTTCTTCAGGCATCTCATCTCACAGGTGTTTGTACTGTGCAAGTGAGTTTTTGATAGATGTTGCATAACGTTGAACTGAATATGCTTATATCTCCTCCATGTAACTTGCTCAGTTCTCAAAACTATTGTTCAGAAATTATATTAATTTTTCTGTATACCCGCCACATAAGTCAATCCCTAGTTTTGAAAATATATTTTTAGGCTAGAAAACCTGACTAAGACACTGCAGTTTATGGTATTATCTTCTTCTTCTGTTTTCTACTTCTAGAATGCCTCACAGCACCAAGGTAGGAAGACGCTGCGAGGCATTCCAGAAGTAGAGAAAAGAAGAAGAGGAAAAAGATAGTTGCCGTAAATTGTGGTGTATAATAAAGTACCTATCTTTTATACTGAATATTTCAGAACATAAACAGGTCACTTATTTATCATTTCAGTCTTGGTCGTCTGTCCCTGGGGAGTTGTTGGACCATCTGTAGTTAATAATATCAATTATTTGTAATGTTTATTTTGTGTCCTTGCAGCAGATGTTGTTTCTTTAATGTGAACATTATTATTGCATTGTGCCATTCTACAACATTCAAGAACAGTTGAAGCTGTTTTAAAACAATATTTCTGTGTTATCGATCATATAGCACTGGTATCCACTGTTATTAAATAAAGTCCAAGATAATGGTTGAATAGTTGTCACATTTTGGGTGACATGGACAGAGAATCATAAGACTGGCTCTGGAATGGGGAAACAGGTTGAGAAAGTGAGGATGTGCAAGGGAAACTCTGTGGCTGATGTTTATGAGAGAGTCCAGAGGTGCTGGACTAGATTCTCCGTCCATGATCAATACAAAATTGTACAGAGTAAAAAAGATTGAAGAAAATTGATTGGAGTAGAATGGACTGGAGTAGAATAGACTGGATGAAATTGACTGTGATTCCCATGTGATAAATAAATGCAGCAACAGAATAATGCTTGAATTTGTCGTATGTAATCCACTCAGTAATGCCATCTTATAATAAATCCAGTTATAGTCACAACTGATTCTAAAATAGCGAATTAAAGAAACACTTATCATGTGGTGGATGTGCTACTCTCTAAAATAATTTACCTCAGTATTTTTGGAATTTTTTTTGAAATCTGGTACAGTCGAGTCTGGATAAGTAGAAGTCGCAGGGACCTAAGAAAATGCTTCCACTTATCTGGATTTCTACTTATCCAGACAGTACACACAATAGAGAAAATTGCCGGGACTAAGCTGGTCATGTCGACTTAACCGAAATTCGACTTAAGTGGACTCGACTGTACCTATATATATTTTTCTCTGAAATGGTCATATTTTTCCCATTGCTTTTGAAATGTTAACAGTTTAAATCCATTTTAATGCACTTGTAAAACAGTTGTTCACATTATATTCAAAGGCATTGGTGTTTATAAATGGTTTCTTCTGTTGAAAGTTCTGGCATCATGTCATGTTTTGGTCAAGTCTGGAAAACTGAATTGCTTCTATTGCCATACATTTAATACAGCTGTTTAGAAAAAATACAGTAAAAGTCTCGGGATTTTGGGGGAGGGGGGGGGGCGCATTCCATGGTTCAGTTCAGTATGTGGAAAACAAAAATGTCAGACTCGACCCTCTTTCAACTGTCTGATCGCTCTATTATAATGAGGAGGGTTTTCTTTACTGTCTTGACTTGATTTTCCTTTCTTTTTGTGGCATTCAATTGCACCTGAGATTTCATTTCTTTGTTCTTCATGTCATGTGCTACCAGTGCCAAACATGGACCTTACTACAACTAATGAGCAGAGATCGTAACAACAGAGATGAGATGTCTTAGGAGAGCTGCCAGTGTGACAAGAAGAGATAAAATCAGGAATGAAGAAATTAGAAGACTAGGACTGAAAACAGTCATACCATTCATTACAGAACATCAAATGAGATGGTTTGGCCACCTAACTAGAATGCCCTGGTACCAACTACCACAGAAAGCCACACTGAAGTAATATAATAAACACAGAGCAAAGGCAAGACCATGCAAGAGATGGAGCGACATCAGAAGCTACCTAACAGAAATTAACGCCACCTGGTACAATGCATTGGAAAAAGCGCACAAACGATAATTTCATCTCCCCCTAAACACTTTGCTGAGGTAAATGGTGGATGAGAAGAAGAAGTTCTTCATATCTGGCCTGGTTTGGGTCAGCGGGTCATCTTTACTCTGGGTGGTTTACTGATGTGCTGGAGGCTGTCTTTTGGTCCTGATAGGAACCTCTGCATTTTAGGCATGAGGTGTCTCCTGAGGGTTGGTGGTGGTCGCATTGTTCTTGAATGGGATGTCGCTGGCGGTTTAGTATTTGCGTTGATGGCAGTTGACATTT